TGTAGGGGCAGATTTGCTCAGCTTGGTACAGCATGAGAACTAGCCAGGCAGCCCCTGCTGATAAGAAATGTCAGCCTTGAGTAGGAAGGGTGCTGAGGGCACAGAAGACAACCCTGTACCAAGATGTTAATAGGGACTATGGGCATTTAGGCATTTTCCATGATTTCCCATTGTTTCTATAATGTGAACACATTACATTTGTTTCAGCAAAAAGCAACAAGAATGATTGAGAATAAATACTAATTAGAAAATTGAGTGCAAGAATGAATTCTTTTCCAGCCTTGGGTGAAGGGACTCACTGTTTCCCTGAGGAATGAGTGTTCACCCATAGCCACTCCTTGATCTGCAATGTTCATATTTACCACCTAAATTGTATCCACAATTTCAAGTCCCAGTTTAAGTGCACCCCCTCCAGGAAGCCTTCCATGAACACTTCAGCCATACCCATGTGCAGGCATATCCTCTCTGATTTCTGAACATCCATTGTAGTGCGTGCTATAATGTGTCACCCAGATCCCCTGTACAACTAATGCCCTCCTTCCTCAGCTACTGGGGGTGTCGACAACTGACAATTTACAGCTGGGTCCTCCTTCTTGGTGATTGCCCACTGCTGAAGAGAGATGACTCTCTCAAGGTCACACCCTTTCTCTGGGACAGCCCATGATCTATGAGAGGGAACAAAGGCCTGACCCTGGTGCCCTAATTCAGGCAACCAGGCAACTCTGCAAGGCTCCTTGAGGGCGCGACACCTGAGGTCTGTGGTGTGACAACTACAAAGCAACTTAACTTCTCCTATGCGCAGTCCTACTTCCTTCACTTCCCTGCAAGTCTTGAGCCTGCAGGCATCCCTGAAAAATTTTCTGCATGCTCATTTCCTCCTCAGCCTGCTTCCTGGAGATTTGACATGCAACACCCATGATACTCGGGCTGCATTACTTTTTGTTGCTTGTTCATCAGGTGGACTATGTTAATAGCTACTTTCAAGCATGTGTGTGAGGTTCTTCCCAGGTGCACTCACAGAGACTTTGATTCAGTTCAGCAAATCTCTGTGGATCATTACTGCCTGCAAATCACAGCGTTAGGAGTTGGATGGAAGAATGAGCTCGTAAGCTCTTTTGATTATTCCACGAAGAAGATGAGGCATAAGTAACACACAGTGTAATCTTGAGATGTTTACACCTCAGTGAAAGCAACAGACTCACAAAGGGGGTATGTTCCAGAACAAAACCATGAAGCAATGCTGTAGAAGTCTCAAGGAGGGAGGAAGGAGATCCAGTGAGGTAGGCTTGGGACAGATCCTAGGGCAGGAGGATTCTGAGCAAGCTTGCTGTGAAGGATATGTAGAGACTGGGTGAATAGAGAAAAAGGAAATGAAGTTTTCCAGACACTTTTCTTATTTGTATAGTGGGATAATAATTAGAAGCTTCAGAGATTGTTTTGAGGATAAATGAGATAGTATATTAAAAATAGAAAAGAACTTGGCAAACTGTCAGATCTTCTGCAAGTAGATGGAGCCATCCTCATGGGCAGGCTCAGGATGGCACTGCAGGAATGTAAGCCTGGTTGGGTGTAGAGAATGGGTGGGGTGGGGAAGACAGAGACCTGAGAGGCCCCATCAGATGCCACTGGCCCTCCCCAAAGAGGGACTGAGAGAGTGGGAGGAAGGGCAGAGAGGGACCGTCAGGGTGCCAGGTAAGTGCTTGTGCTTCCAGGTCTCCAAGCCGCCAACACTCCTTGGCTCCTTGCTTTCTTCCCAGCAGGATCAATGGATGCTGCCTGAGTGAATGAATGGCAGCAGTAGCCCCTGTTGCCTGGTCAATACATACATACAGGTCTCCTGCTGTGTGCTCCAAGTGGGAAGAGGGCCCACTTGGCTTGCAGAAGACAGCATCATAGGACACAGTGCTTCCCTACCTTGAGTTGGAAGACTTGTTGCGGGGCTGGCATTCCCTGTCGTCCCACATGGAATTAGGCATTTTGCTTTCCCCAGAGAATCCAAAGTGGTGGTGCTGGGTACGATATCATTCACACTTCTCTGCTGAGAGCTGGCAGAGCAAATATGTCAGAGAGGGATGAGGTGGGCAGACCCTTCTCCCAGGTCACAGATGGGGGTCCTCTCTGACCTGTTGTGGCTGATGTGCCCTCTGCGCTGATTTGGATGCACGTTCATCCAGAATGGCATAAATCGGTGTGTTTCAAATCCACTTGGGTACCGTAGCACCTGGAAATAATGGTGCTTTTGTGCAGAATGCCTTGAAAACTAATAAATTTAATTCCAGTGTGTGAAATAGGAACACTTTTGTTAGCAGGAAAGCCAACTCTATTATATATGCATTATGTTTCAATCACAACCAAAATACAGGCTGTCAAGCTCATCAATGCCTTTCGAGCCTGCCTCTGAGCACCCTGCTCCCTTTTCTCAGTGAGCAGCACTACTAGCCTCCCAGAACCCAGTGCAGAAATGCAGAATTGTCCTCTACAACTTCTCTCCCTGTTTGCCCTCAATGCTCTTCCCACCTCCCATCTATCCAATGACCAGATTCCATGAAATTGACTTCCAGGTTTGCTACTGACTCTGAACACTTCTCTGAATTCTCATCCCCACTACTTCCATCTGGCAACTTGTTGGGAGCAATGTGCATGGCTCCTGGATCTGAGGGTCACTGTCCAAGGGCCAGCTGAGGAGGGAGAGGGGCTCTGATTCCCACAGAGCCCATCCCAGGGTTGTCATGAATGGGGGGAAATAATATGAGTCATCACAAACACGTCTCTGTTTACCAGGAGATGGGGCATGACTCTTCCCTTTAGTGGTGAAAGCATCCTAGCCCCTTCTTCCAAAGGCCTTTAATTGAAAGGGTTATCAATGTGGCTAGGTAATAGGAATGTACAGATGATCTCATTACAGCAGTATGTTAATGTTTACAGAGAATAGATGATGCTTTGAAGAAAACAAATCACAGGAACACACTGATTTACATGGGTCTGTGAGGAGACGAGTAAACATGAGAGCGTAGTAAACATAAGGGTGCCAAAGAGTTTAGGGTTAGGGTCTGCAAATAACGCAAATTTCCTTCCCAGTGTGAGCTGGCTATCATAGCTTTTGAGGGAGAAACAAAGCATGCTTTGAAAGAATTTATTTTTAGGCCTGATTTCCCCTGGGAACCGCCAGATCCAGTTTAGGCCTGTCTCCAGTATTGTTTTGAGCCAGGCCGGGGGAGGGAACCACCAAGAGACAAGGAGACTTCTTTCGGATAGAATGAGGATCCCGGCCATGTTCAAGGCGAGCCGAGGGGTGCGGGTATTTTTGCCCTTTCTCTGTGTCCCCCAAGTTTTTGTCTCTGATGCCCAATTTGGCTGTGCCTGGCTTAGGTTGTCCCTTCCATCAAGGGCTCTTACCCGTCATTGACTACCAGCCATCTCAGGGCCAAGCAGGGTGATGTGAGGGACACAGGGGCTGTCAGGGAGACAAGTTTCATCTCCTCAGTGGCCTGTTTTCCCAAGGCCTCCTTGATTAGTTCCACCCTTGGAGCCCTCTCGCCTGTTGGTGGGGCTTTAGTTCCTGAAGCCAGACATGGCATTTCCTAACAGCAACCACCATCTGTTACCTGAGTTACAGCTACCCCTCACTTCCTTCCAAAGTCCCCTCTACACTGTAGCAGCCAGTGACCTCTCTAAAACACCAATCTAATGGAGTCAGTCCTGTGCACCCAAACTTTCAGGAGCTCCCAAACTTCCAAGTCCTATCTGGCCCATGAATGGCCCTCCAGTTTAATTTTCCCCTGTGTCACCATCATGCCCTACAATTTTTGCCTAACAGAAGTATTTTCTCTTTGGGATTGTGTTGTGTTCTCTCTGGTTGGAACATCTCCCCTTATCCCTCGGTTGCCTGGCTAACTCCTCCTCCTACTTCATCTCAAATAACACCTCTTTTGGGACGTTTTTTACCCATGGGATGGGGTGCCCATTCCTCAGGCCTCTCAGTGCACATGTGCAGACCTGATCATTCCTCTCTGGGGTTCTTGCAGTAGCCTCCCAGTTGGTGTGCTGTGACCTTGCTTGGCCCCATCCTTCCGTTCTCTACATAACAGTCATAATTTTCTCTCTGAGAGGCAAATCCAATTGCGGTGTTTCCACTGTCATTAGGCTCAAGTCTAAACTGCTGGTATGCCTTGTAAGGCCCCCCTGTGATCATCTATGATCACAGCTATTGCATCCTCCCCAGTTTAAGTCGTTCGAAGTCCCTCCATGCTTCAGCTGGCCCGAACCTCTTTCTGCCTCCACCATAGCGCCTGCTCTCTGGTTCTGACTTTGCGTGTGCTGATTCCCATGTCTAGACCCTCCCTTGGCTCCCAGCTCTTTACCTGGCTAATTCCAACACATCCTTAAGGTGTCTGCTGAACATCACTTTCTCTGGAAAGCCTTCTTTAAATGTCTAGGTTATGTGTCTCTCTCCCCATTCCATTTCCTAGTGCCTACGACCCACAGATTTAATTGCTTAATTGACTATTGTTGATTTTAGATTGTGAGTTGGAGAATCATGTATATTTTGTTCCTGCCTGTGTTTCTAGCACTACAAGAACAATGCTCAATAAATATTTATGGAAGCAAGAATAAGTGAATGCATATTTCTATTCCTACCTTTAGAGGCTGGGCCTCCTCATGAACTTGTGTGTGGTGAATGTGATGTGCTTATTATGTGTTTATTGAATAAATGAATGAATGAATGAATGGTCATCTCTTCTCAAGCTCATTTACTTTATTAAACTTTTTAAAAAATTATATTTGTTCATTTGTTCTACCATCTGCAAGGACTTCCTAATAAAATAGTGGCAGCAGGCCTCAATGTTTTAAGAAAATTTTTGGATGCAAAAGTTCACATTCTGAGACTGAAGAATGCTCTCTTTTAATTTCTAGTGGCTGGTTAGCTCCAGAATCCTCCACGGGAGGCATGCTTTGGGAGGTCCTCCTGCTCACTCCCTGTGTCCTTTTCTCCTGGCCAGAGCCTGGCCACCCAGTGGCCCCGCTACCCCAATGGATCCACTGAACCTGTCCTGGTACGATGATGATCTGGAGAGCCAGAACTGGAGCCGGCCCTTCAATGGGTCTGAAGGGAAGGCTGACAAGCCCCACTACAACTACTATGCCATGCTGCTCACCCTGCTCATCTTCATCATCGTCTTCGGCAACGTGCTGGTGTGCATGGCTGTGTCCCGCGAGAAGGCACTGCAGACCACCACCAACTACCTGATCGTCAGCCTCGCTGTCGCTGACCTCCTTGTAGCCACGCTTGTCATGCCCTGGGTTGTCTACTTGGAGGTAGGTCCAGGCCCTGCCTTACTCAGCACCTTCTCTGGAGGACACAGTGCTGGAGCCTCGAGTCCAGGCTACTCACTTCTTTCCACCCACAAGTTGCCTGGTGCTTTCTCAGATGGCCTCTTCCTCCACTGTGGGCTCAGTTTTTCTCCTTATAGAATGGGTAGGTTGTCTCCTTAACAATCCCAACTCCCAGTGATAGAGTCCTCACTAGGTGCCATGGCTTGTGTTGAGTCCTTTATATGCAGCATTTTTCCCAACGAGTCCTCATAGCAGCCCTGAGAAACTGATGCTGTTATTACCATTTCACGAAAGTTACGTGACCCCTCCAGCAGCACATAGCTGCTAGGTGTAAGCTGGTGCTATGTCTAGCCCCTGAGTCAGTTCATTATATCTTGCTGGAAATGGGAGTAATTGATGAGGACCCCCAAGGATGGGAGATGTTCCTGCTTCTAGGCCTCAGTTCTTCATTCCTCCTTCCCCACTTCAAAATGCAGGCTGCTGCTCTGTGCTCTCCTTCTCCCTATCCTCTTCCCCAGTTTGTTCTAGCGCCTGTGTTTGGGACCTCCAGTTAGAGGCCTCTGTGAGTTGTGTTGCAGCCCCTTCCTTAGGAAGGACCAGAGTGTCACTGTTGCCTGGCCCAGGAAAGAACCCAACTCTGTGCCTCAGAATAGTGAATAGGCAACCCCTTCTATGGCCCTGGCGTGGTGCCAGACATTTTTCAGACACAGACTCAGCAATTGCTTATGCTAATCCTAAGAGTTAATACCACTCTTCTCACTTTACAGAAGAGGAAACCGAAGATTTGAGACGTTGCCTGTTTCTACCCAGGTCACATAGCAAAGGGAGAAGCTGCTGATAGAAGTCCTTAAGTGGACCCACCTCCAGGTGGACACTTTTCAAAGTTGCAAGGCAGATTTGGAAAGGCCCAGGGGATGTGAGTGAGCACAGGCTGGATCCTGCTCCTTTCTCTGCCCAGGATTCTAGGCTGGTGTCTGGTTGCACAGGAATCTGACCGGGTGTTCAGGGAAGAGCCAGAAGTGTTAAGGTCATCAAGAGCACTAGGCTGTTTCCTTCCCACCCTGGGCTAGAGAGGAGTTTACCAGTGCCATGGTGGCAAGCCCTTCTTTAAAAGGAAATAAGAAGCCTTTGTAGGTTGATGCAGAGAAGTCCGCAAGGAGAATCTGAGGTGTGGAGGGAGGCTGGTCGGAAGTGGGCCTTCTCCCTCTCTCCTCTCTCCATGGGCACCACTGTGCTTCCTGTTGCTACCACCACACTGGCCCACAGAAGCTCTGGACCATCACTCTGTGGTTTCCTTTAGCACAGCCTAAACAGGCTGGAACTTCCAAAATGACCTGACTGAATGTTAAGGAAGAACCAAAAGGAAACAAACAGGAGTTCAAGGCCACAGCCAGGGGTTCAAGTCCCCAGTGAAGCCAATATCTACAAGGCCCCTAGACTCTGCTGTCTGAGGCCTCTCCCTGAGGAGCCCTTCCTAATTTGTGGCCTCCTCCTACTTGCTTTCCAAGGAGATACCCAGGCCTGAGACCATCAGTGAAAAAGACCTCTCTGTGTGTCCGTTTTCTTATCTATCTCATAGCATGGTTTGAAAATTGAATGAATGACTACATAAACATGCATGGAATGGAACCAGGCACATAATAAGAAGTATGTAAACGTCAGCCATGACAACAGTATTCAAGATGAAATGACCACAGATATGCTGCACCTGTCCACATAGAGAACTCCCCCATACCCAGGCAAAGAAGCACCCTCTTCCCAGAGTGAGGTGTGCTCTGCTCAGGCCTATGGGCATGGGCTCTGGGGCTTTCAGACCTACTGCCTTTACCCAGGCTCTCTAGGGTAGGGCCAAATCTGTTCATGGGCTATGCTGGGCCTTTTACCAATCTCTAAGTCCTTTGAACAGACATTTTAAACATACCTGTTCACCATTATTTTAGAGGAAAAGCTCAGTGTTCCAAGGGCAGGGTGGAGAATGGCATCTCAGAGGCCGATGCTCAAACTTCCCCATAGTGTCCCAACCGAACAAGAGCTGGACACTGTGCCCTACTCCCAGGACATAGTTTTGGCTATTTATGGTCCCTAGAGAAAGTCCCAAGTGGAGTCTCACTCTATCTCAACGTCCTGTCAAAGTGTTCTTGCAACCATGTGCTGTGTCTAGAATCTTCCGTTTTGTTCCATTTCCAGTGATACTAAATGCCTCCAATAGCCTGCTATATCAGTGCATGTATAATGTGGAACTGGATGTGCATTACTTGTATTTATTCCACTCAGTATCTGGACAACACACTGCTTTTGAAGTGGGAGGCTGGGGTTCAATTCCCAACTCTACCACTTTCCATCTGGAGAAGCTCCCCAAGAAGAGAGCCGTGAGCCACTTGTTTGCAGGTACCACGCCACTTCAGCCTCACAGGCCTTTGAGGGATGGGTTTACTGTGTGCATTTTCCACGTGAGCAGATGAAATTGAAATGTGAACAAACTAAAGTCTCAGGGTTGTAAGTATTCGCTCATTTGACATGTATTAAGCAATTCTATGGCCTGCTTCAATGAGACTACTGATGAAAGTGACAGTGGATCAGTCCCCGCAGAAGATGTGGGAACACAGGGGGCATGGAACTTGGCATGTGGGGACAAGGAGGTCGTGCAGGAAGAAGTGATATTTTCAGAAGAATTATCCAGGGGAGGGAGCCAAGGCACCTGCACCCCAGGCAGAGAAACAAAGTGTGCGAAGCTGCGGAGCAGGGAGGGTAAAGCTTGAGGTTTTGAGGTGAGGCATCCATGTTATTAGCTTCAGAAGTTTGCTGTCACATTCCATAGAGATGAGGGTGAGTGTTTAGAACAGTGCCTAACATATAATAAGTGCTTAATATGTGCTAGTTACTATTAAGATTTAACCAGCTAACTCAAGGCCCATCCTGCAGTTCTCAGCTTCATGTGAGCAAGAATGTGAATGTGCCCTGATAGGTGTGGCTCAGTTGGTTGGAGCATTGTCCTGTAAACCAAAAGGTTGAGGGTTCAATTCAGGTTGGGGCACATACTTAGGTTGTGGGTTTTGTTCCCAGTCAGGGTACAAATGAGAGGCAACTGGTTGTTGTTTCTTTCTCACATCAGTGTTTCTTTCCCGTTCTTTTTCCCCTCCTTTCTCCTCTCTCTAAAATCAATAAGCATGTCCTTGGGTAAGGATGGAAAAAAAGAAAAAGAAAAAATATGTCAAAGTATGGTGTCAAAAGGTGCAGAGAAAAACCTGGGGTCTGGCTCTTTCTCTGCTACTAAATCATCAGGTGATCTTGGACAAGTCCATTTTCCAATTTGACCCCAAGTTTGTCCACCCTAGCAATTATAATCTTTCCTTTCACATTTCATTTATTTAGTACCTTTTACATAATTATTTCCTTTTTAACAAGCCTGGTAGACCTTCCCAAGACAGTTTAGAAGAGAGTATAAGTTGTGCTGCCCAGAACTTGCTTCTGATTCCAGCCCTGCCACACCCTAGCTGGGTGCACTCTCTGAGCTCAGTCCCTGCTACATGACCAGACATAAACAGTCCCCTTTGTATAAGCTTTAAGAAGAACAAGTGAGATAAGTACCTGCATACAGTAGGTGTTCTAGAAACTGGCTACCAGCACATTCTCTTGAGTTGTTCAGTCAGCTCCCCAACTGTGTGCTACAAGAGCTGGTCCTGAAACCGCAGAGGAAAGCTGCCCTCGTTCTCACTCCAGAAAAACCTCTGGGAAAGGAGACTGAGAGCTTCCAGAGGCAGGAGCTTGTCGGTCCTGCTCATCCCTGTACTCCGGAGTCTAGACAGAGCCTGGCACATAAGAAGTGTCTACAGGAAAGAAGGAAAGCAGGGAGAATAGGGAAGATCTCAGACCTAGGTTCCCAGGGACAGGAAAGCAGCTCTGAAATTCTAGTCTAGGAGAGGCCTCAAGTGGAGAGTGGACCAGGTGGGCCCAGAACTCTCCCAGTGGTGCCAAAAGGTAGACTTTGTTTATGCCAGGAAAGCCCCTCCATCCCCCCCCCACCCCCTAGGACATTCAGCTGCTGCCCACATGGTCAGCCCTGTACTGAGGCACAGGGACCCTTGTGTTGCGACTTGGGAGGGGCCCGGAGAAGGCAGCGCTGAGAGAGGCTCGCTGTCTCCCAGGAGGAGCTGCTGTTTCCTCCACGCTCCACAGTCAGAGCAGCAATGCCTGTCACTGAGCTTAAATGCCAATATTTGGTTTCATGCCTCAGAGCAGAAAAGAAGGCAGTGCTGAGAATGAGCAGGGTTGTACGCAGGCCTGCTGCTGTGCTGCAACAGCAGCACGGGTCCTGCCCTGCTCTGTTCAGCTCCTCTTTTCTCCTGTTGGCAGAGGCCCGAGGTGCATCTCCCTGTCCTGACTCTGAGCAAGGGTGGGGCTGCCCCAGACTTCCAAAGTCGCCAGGGCCAGCCTGCTGTGTGAGTGTGAGTACCTATGTGTAAATGGAGGTGTGCGGTGGGTACAGCGGTGTGCGTGCATGTGTGAGCAGGTAGGAGTGTGTGTGGTGAGAGTGGGGAAGGGATGTAAAATGCTTGTACCAGGAGTTGGACGTCTCGTACCCCATCGTACCATGGCTGTGTTGTTACAGCCCCCTCCCCAGCCCATTCTGGTGTTCCTACAGCCCTAGGCCAGACTTTCCTTCTTTCATTCTCCAGGAATAACAAGGAGCAGAAATGTCTTCCCTGTGTTATAGGGTCATTGTCTTCACCCTTGTTCTTAACAGACACTTACGGGGCCTCTGTCCTGCGCCATGCACCATGCTGGGCACTGATGAAGCTGCCTGGTTCCCCCAGAAACCTGGGCCAGCCAGGACCAGACACTGAGCTGAATGGCTGGGCGAGGCACTGCATTTTTCTGAGGCTTCGTTTCCTCATTGGTAAAATGGGGATCTTAAGGTGATCACACAAATATTTTCCAGATAAAAAAAGTTGAAGTACTCAGTATAAGTTGGTCATCTTTCTTCTAGCACAGTTCTTGGCACAAGGTGGCCTATGTGCCTAGGAGGTGAGAGGCTGGGACAAGGGCCTCAGGCATCACGGTTATGACCCCCCATTGCTGCCCCTCTTCTCCCCCAGACCCCAGGAAGAGACCCACAAGACCCTCACCGGTGCCTTCTGAGCCCGTGGTCTGATCTCCCCCAGGAGAGCCCCGCTATCAGGCCGTAGCTAATCTCCCTTTTACATTCCATGTATTATGTTGCTTTGTCCCCAGGTGGTGGGCGAGTGGAAATTCAGCAGGATTCACTGTGACATCTTTGTCACTCTGGACGTCATGATGTGCACAGCAAGCATCCTAAACCTGTGTGCCATCAGCATTGACAGGTGAGCCCAGCCAGGGTGGGAGTGGCGACCCTGGCTATTTACCTTTCAGGCTGCCCCACCTCTCCTTCAGGCCAAGCTCTGTCTATACTATGTGGCTGGCTTTGTGCCTATAAGTCCATGTGTTTATGTGCATTATGTGTGTATATGTATGTGTGCACATGCACATGTGTGTAGGTACATGAGTGTCTAGCTGGGAAAGTACCATCCTACTGGCGGTGATGCTATCAAGCGTACCCAGACTGGTATAGAGAAAAAGCACTTGATTCTGACTGGTGCCTTGGTTGTATCGCTTTCTACTTAGGTGACCTTGGGCAGATTATGGAAGTTCTCAGAACCCTAGTTTCATTGTCTAGAAACCAAAGATGATGGCCACTGCCCATTTGGAGTTACAGTGCCTGGTTATATAGTTTGTATCCAGCACAGGACACATGGCTGAGGGAGCCTGGCTGTGCTCACCTTGCTAAGATATATCCTTAGAGCCTTTCGCTAATTTGTATATACAGATCACATGGGCTCCCAGAGGCCCTGGCCATACTCTCCTTGTAGGGTTCTTGGAAGACAAAATGAGCGAATGTATGAGGAGTGGCGGGTAGAAGAATGGGAGGGTTTACACACAACTATCATTGTTATTTTTTTCCTGCTGAATGGGGCTTAACCCTTGCTCTGAGGGCCCCAGCTACCAATCCATCGACAAACACTTCCATGTTCAGTGACTCAGCTCAGGTGTTGTAGGAATAGTTTCCAAGGCACAGGGACCTCACAAAGCCTTATATCCAAGCGGGGAGACTGGAGTACAGGATATGGTCCAGGATTAATGGTAGTCAGTTAGTCCTTAAGCAGTTAATTGGGCAGTACTAACTGTCCTTATTATCTGAGTCGGGGACAGGAAGAAGGGTTGATTTAGAGTAGACAGGTGAGCTTCATGGAGATGGACCAACTGTCCACCTCCAAAGAGTGGGGTGTCTCCGGTTATGCGTGTTGTGGAGTGAGGAGTCCCCCGCCCCATGTCCTTGCAGGTACACGGCTGTGGCCATGCCCATGCTCTACAACACACGCTACAGCTCCAAGCGTCGGGTCACCGTCATGATCGCCATTGTCTGGGTCCTGTCCTTCACCATTTCCTGCCCGATGCTCTTTGGACTCAACAACACAGGTGAGCCTTGCCCCTGTCTGCTGAAGGCTCAGCCGGCCTCTGTGCAGGGTCTAGGGGGAGCTGAGCCTTGGTGTGAACACGTTGCAGACCCATCGCGGTCCTGATCGCCACCTGGACTGAGGCCAGGGGGTTCTACTGGGCCAAGCCCAGCTCTGTGTTGTACCTGGTTGGGCCAGAAAGGAACAATGACCTGGGGCACAGTGGAGTTGGGTGAAGGGTGGGGATTATGATTCAGGAAGTCTGGCCATTTTCAACCTTGTTTATTAAACAGAAGCAGGCCAAATAACCTCACACACAGCATGTGTGTGCCTGTTGTGTGTGTGCATACACACATGGGGGAGGCTACTGGGCCTCCATCACCTCTGGCAATGGCATTTGTGTAATGAGACTGCAGCCCCAGGGCCAGCTGGGCTCAGACCAGGCCTCAACCACCTGGAACACAAAAGCTAGAAACAAGTAGGAGGCTAGTGCACCATGCCCTACCCTTTGCGAGGCAGTTGGAGTGTCTCAGACAGAAGAGGCATCACATCCACCTGCTGGTGTGGCATCAAGCTTACTCTAGAGGGAGGCAAGAGCAATGCAGGTATGCTTCTGGAGCCTATTCCAGGACTATAGTACACAGGGAAGCCATGAAAGTGTGTGGTACCAAATCTAACTGTTGTGGGAATTGCAAAAAAGTTGAAATAGGCCTAAATATGCTCAGATTAGCCTGGGGAAGCCCTGAAATAGAGCCCAGACATCTACTAGACCTGGAAGGGAGCTTGGAAACACAATAGAACAGAGGTGAGTTCAGCAAACAGGACCCGGTTATCTTGTCCCTAAAATTAAAAAGTGGCAGACCTCCCCCCAGTATATAGGAAAGACTAAAATAATGCTTATGCTCTTAAAATAATTTTCTTAAGGCATGTTGTTTGAACACCCTGGCTCTGCTTGTGTGCTCATAGATGATAGAACTAATGATGGTTAATGAGAACATATTAATGGAAAAATTTGAGAGCAGTCGATCACAGCTTTTTGTTCATGGTTGCGTTTTTAATGCTCTGATTTACTCTGTGCATTTATTTGCATCTAACCCTTTCAAGCAACCTTAGGCATCTAATAGTCCCTGTAACCTTGTCCTTACTTGTACGGTGGAGGAGATAAGGCCTCTCTGCATGCTGTGGGCCCTGGGCCAGCAGACCCACCCACCTGACACTCTCCCTCCTCCAGAACAGAGTGAGTGCATCATTGCCAACCCCGCCTTCGTGGTTTACTCCTCTGTCGTCTCCTTCTATGTGCCCTTTATCGTCACCCTGCTGGTCTACATCAAGATCTACATTGTCCTCCGGAGGCGCCGAAAGCGTGTCAACACGAAGCGCAGCAGCCGGGCTTTCAGGGCCAACCTGAAGGCCCCACTCAAGGTCCCACGATGCCCCTCCCCTCCAGCATCCCTACTTAACCAACCATCACTGAGTTGAATTGGGTCATCCAGTGGTCAGTGGGGGCCTAGGACACTGCAGCAGGAGCGGGTGCATGCTAGGGGAGCTCCAAGCAGCTGGGCAGGGCAGGTGTCATTCGAAGGTGTGAGCCACAGTGGAGGAATTTGTATCTCCAGGAGTGGGAGGTGGGGAGGGTGGTGGGGGCAACATGGGAAGAAAAGCCTTTGCTAGATTTCTTTCTGCATGCAGCAGCCCTTGGCACCCTCCTGGGGTCCTCTCCTTCTCTTTTCTTCACTTCTCCTTTCCTGTCTCTGATCCCTCCACCTCCCTTTCCCTCCTGCTGAGGCCTCTGTCCCATCTCCTTTACCTTCACACTCTCCATCCTCTCCTCTGTGCACACCTCCTCCCTCCTCTCCTGCTCTTTCGTACTTCTTTATTCCATCCCTCTTTTGTTCACCCCCCTTAGGTCTTGTGAATTCTCCCTTCTGCTTAACCCTCCCTCAGGAATACAGTATGTGGGCCTGGAAGGAACGAGAGCTTTGGGGTTAGATACATCAGGTTCAAATCCTAGCACTGCCACTTTTTTGCTGAGTGACCTTGGGGAACTTGCTTAACTTTTCTGAGCCTCAGTTTCCTCATCTGTTAATAGGAATCATAATACTGACCACACGTTGGTCTTCAAGATTCAACATGAGGGGAGTGTGAGCCTGCCTAGCATGGTGCCAGACCTTCAGCTGGCACTCCATAAGTCAGAGCTCATTTGTCCCCCATCCTGCCCACCTCTCGTTATCACAGCACTGACCTTCCCCCTTACCTCAATTCCTCCTCGGGCCCCTACCCTGCTGTTCCCTGCCCTCCTCAGAGCCCCTATATCCAGTCTGACTACTCAGCATTGGGTTTCTGCCCCCTTCCTCCTCCCCGTCATGACCAGCATGCTGGCTCACTCCACAGGGCAGCTGCACTCACCCTGAGGACATGAAACTCTGCACCGTTATCATGAAGTCTAATGGCAGTTTCCCTGTGAACAGGCGGAGAATGGTAAGTGTTTAGGTCAGGGACCCACAGCCATGTCTTATTGCCCCTAGGTAAACCCACCTGCCATGATTCTCAGAAGCCTCACCAACTGGCCAAAGGGTGAGGCACTTCTTGGACCCTCCACTTTTGCCTCTGCTGAGACCCAACTTACCATGCATGCCTCACTATAGATGTGGAGCAAGAGCTCAGTTCTGCAAGGCACAGTGAGGTACCCCTACCACAAGAAAATGGTTGAGGGAAAGGACTTTGCCTTAGTAACATGATAGAAATAATAAGAATAGCTATACCATTAACTGAACACCTGCCATGTTCCTATTATCTCATCAAATCCTCACAGCAACTCTGGGAGGTAAGTCTTATTTTTAATATCCATCTTCATTTTACAGAGGAGGACACAGAAGCTTAGAGAAGTAAGGTAACTCACCCAAGGCTGAATAGTTAGTGAGAGAACACATCTTTGAGCCCAGACTTAGGCGTCTCTGAAACCCATGCCCCTGCTGTTTTCTCTACTTGCATGTACCAGCTTACTGCAGGCAGGTTCTGGGGCTGCAGGCTGGGCGCTGGGGAGATGGGAGTAGGGCAGCCTCTAAGTAGAGCCCAGAAGGGCATCAGCACAGCAGACCCCAGGCTTAGCCCAGTGGGAATAGCAGCAGGGTCCAAGCAGCAGCTGTCCCGTTCTGCGGGTTGGCCGGGAACCCACTGTGGGCCACACATGAAGTCCAGGTCAGGTGTCCTCAGGAAGCAGGGCCCCTGCCATTCACCTGCATAGCAAGAGCAGGACCCAAAGGAGCCAGTTAGGAGACAGATCCCAAAACAGGGATTCAGAATGGGGCCAAGGTAGCATTCCAGTTCTACCACCCGGGCATATGGTGAGGGTGGATTTCAGCAGCTCAGACAGAGACCCTGAGGCCTGGAACAAGGGAACCTGAGGGAGAACCTGGGAGGCCATGGGTGAATCCATGGCAGAGCCCTCCAGGCCAGCCCAGCAGGGAGGGTGGGGACCCAGGAGCCTTGCCCTTTGGCAGCTGGATCCGTCTAGTGGGAGAAATGGATCCCGTATGTGAGTGCTACTGCGGGTGCCCTGGGCCAGCCTGGCAGGAGAACAAGAGTGCCCTCTGTGCAGCTTGAGCAGGCTCCTAAAGGCGGGCACTGAACATCAATCAGTAATTTATCCCTGGCAGCCAGCTTGGCATCTGGCACTTAACTGGCACTTAGTAAGGGTTGCTCAGTTAATAAAAGAGAAGTGCATGAGTATTAAGCTCCCACAAAAATGGTGTGGGCTTACTGAGGATGCATAAGGATTGCTCTGGGAAGGGAGCCCGGTGACCCTGCAGGAAGGGCCCGCCATGAGTCTCGGGTCTTGTACCCACACAGTCCCTGCCTCCGAGTGCTCATCCTCCTTGCCTCTCTGACAGAGTGAGCTGTGGCATTTGCAGGAGTCTGAAGAGGGAGATAGGAAAGAGCCAGGTGGGTCCCTGGGAGGCCAGATGTGGCCAGATAGGCTAGGTGCAGTCAGGTGAGTCTGGGTGGCTACTGCCCGAAAACTTGCCTGCTTTGACCCAGAGCTCTCTGCCTCGTACAGGAGGCTGCCCGCCGAGCCCAGGAGCTGGAAATGGAGATGCTTTCCAGCACCAGCCCACCTGAGAGGACCCGGTACAGCCCCATCCCGCCCAGCCACCACCAGCTGACCCTCCCTGACCCGTCCCACCACGGCCTCCATAGCACTCCTGACAGCCCTGCCAAACCCGAGAAGAATGGGCATGCCAAAGACCACCCCAAGATTGCCAAGATCTTTGAGATCCAGTCCATGCCCAATGGCAAAACGCGGACTTCGCTTAAGACCCTGAGCCGCAGGAAGCTCTCGCAGCAGAAGGAGAAGAAAGCCACCCAGATGCTCGCCATCGTCCTTGGTGAGTCAGCCCTGGCTCTGGCCACGGCCCAGCTCTGCCCAACTCTGGCCAAGGGAAGGGCGCCTCACTGCCAGTTCCACTACCTGCCACCCTCTTCCTAACAATGGTTGGTGGGCCATGGGATTGGCACTTTCTCAGGCCTACGCCAAGTCTATTGATGCACCCTCTGAGGTAGATTCTATAATTATGTTCAGTTTACAGTTGGGCCAACTGAGGTTTGGGTTGTCCTATAGCTTGACCAAGGAAGACCCATAATTTAACTTAGGTAGTCTGCCTTGAGAATATGTGCACTTGACCAGTCTACCATAGTGACCCCCAGAACCTCATGACCCCGGGTGAGTCACTTTCTCTCTCTAGTCCCATTAGTAGAGTAGATTATGTCTCGAGGTTGTTGTGGTCATCAAATAATAGACGGTGGTGGAAGCATTTTATGAACTGCTAAACAGTGCACATAGGTGTTGTCATTATGGGCTTTGTTAATATTGTTATTGCTAAGGAATTGGGAAAATCAGCTTCCCTGAGCTTAACCAAGCCCCTGTACAGCCAGAACTGCAAACAAGTTTTTCAAAGGGCTGTGAGAGAGCCTGATCTAAATGAGGGCATGGCCCTGTCAGCAGAGTCCTGTCAGTGAGGCAAGGATTTCAAATAAAGTCCCCTAGAAAACCAGATAATGAAGGTCAAAATCAAGGGCTGGACTGATAGGGGTGTTTGGGAACAGGAAGGTCTGATGTGAGCCTGTCTTCCTTGTAGTACCCAGGGTGGTGTGTGACACCCTCCACATCCACCATCTCCTTTGATCTCCCGACAGCCCTATGATATGAGTGGGGCAGGTGTAATTATCCTCATTTTACAAATGAGAGCACACGGTCACAGCAGGTTAAGGGACCAACTGTTGATCATAACACTGGGAGTGACAGAGCAGGGTTCAAACCAGACCCTCTCCTGCAGTCCACAGGGTCTCTGCTCTGCAGCTCTGCCCTTCCCAGGTGCCTCTCCATCCGCAGGGACTCCCAGCTGCCTGTGGAGCATTCTATGCACGTGATACCTTGACACCAGGGGTCCCACCCAAGCAGGTGATACTGAGTTTGGCACAGTGAGTGGGTGGAATGGACATAAGTCCCGGTGAAGGTGGAGTTTCCAAGGCCTGGGCTGGGGCCTGCAGCACACAATCCAGCTGCCCACCGAGTGTGGGCCCTCCCAGCCCAACTCCTCCCTGGCCCTGGGGCCAGCCTGACCACTGCCCTCTCCCCCAGGCGTGTTCATCATCTGCTGGCTGCCCTTCTTCATCACACACATCCTGAACATTCACTGTGATTGCAACATCCCACCTGTCCTGTACAGCGCCTTCACGTGGCTGGGCTATGTCAACAGTGCCGTGAACCCCATCATCTACACGACCTTCAACATTGAGTTCCGCAAGGCCTTCATGAAGATTCTCCACTGCTGACCCTGCTGCCCATCTGAACAGCAGCCCGCCGCCCACCTCCCTGCCCGGGCTGGCCTGGCCTCAGTCCCTGGGAGCCATGGGCAGGAGGGTGTGTGGTGGACCTCTCTTTGCCTGGCTGGCCCTGCAGTGTTAGCTTAGCACCACGCCCCTCACTACCCAAACACCCTCGCTCTGCCAGGGTGGTGTAGAGAGCCAGGCATGGTGCCAGCCCTTGGGCTGGACCCTGTGGCTCAAGGGCAGCTCACAAAGCCCCTTTCTCACTTCCAGACACCTTGTCCTTGGCACCAAAGACACAAGCCACCTTCTCTGACCTTCCTCTGGAGCTCTGGTGTTGCTGGGGCCAGAGTCAGGGCCCAGAGGCTGTGCCCTCTGTTGGGCAAGCTCAGCCTGGCCTCCACAGGTTTGTGCCAGAGTGGGTGGTAGGGAGGGGTGGACAGTTCACAGCACCCAAGGTCCACGCCAGGAAAGCCAGAGCTCTTGCCAAGGCCGCGGGTCACTTCAGTCTGGGGAGACCCATGTACATACCAGACCAGAGAATGAACCCCAAGAAAGCCCAAGCCAAAAATCTTTACTCCCTTTCCTGCCCAATAGGAGCCTCTACTTCCTTCAGCAGTGGGTCCTGACATGGCCCACCCTCTCCACACTTCCTGAGGGGAGAGCCTCAAGAGGATCTGTGGGAGAGGAACCCTACCCCTAATAAGCCCACTGCTGCCTCCTGATGGATGTGGGTGCATCCCTTCTTGTAGCAAAAGTCAGGCCAGCCTGGGGAAGGTGGGGCAGACAGCTTGTGGCTCTGTCTGGGCCTGGGCTGGGTGTCTGAGGTTCTTTGGAGGGCTGCCTCCTGCCATACTATACCACAAAACCACTTTCCTTTTCCTTTTGACTCTCCTCTTTCCTATTCCCTATCCTTCCCACTGCCTCGGCCTTACAGAAGCCCGTGGCTACCATTTGGCCTGGCCTGGCCTGTACCTGCCCCGAGGGAGGAGGGGAAGCTGCAGCTTGGGGGAACCCCCAGGTCCCAGACTCTGTAACATCACTACACATCCTCCAAACTAATAAAACATTGACAAGAGTCACATGCGCGGCCCCTCGTGGGGAAGGGCACAACACTAACTGTCCTCCACACCAGGTATAGCAAAGCCCTTGTGTCTGTGCTGGGGATAAAGTTGGAGAGATATTCTGCAGACCCTCAGGAAAAGGGTGGCCTGGCCATGGCCATCAAGATGAGCAGGACTTTGGGGGAAATGAAAAAAGAAGCTGCTCCAGGAAAACCAAGGAGAAGATGCATGTGCCTGAGTGTTCCTCACTCATCCCCACCTTCTCCTCTCAAGTTGCCATGAGTTCTATCAGTCCTGCTGTTTGGTGGCCATGACCCCCAACTCTCACCCAAGATGGAAGGGGGAGAATTTCCAGTGGGAACCCTAAACATACCCAGATTGCCCCTAATCACCAGAGCACCAGGGGCCGGCCAGAGGGAAGTCAGGCTGTCCCTATGTGCCACCTCCTCCTCTCCAGGTCCCAGGACCTCTGCAGGACTAATTCTTAGCCCCCTTGCCCACCAGGGCAGAGAATGCTCCATGGAGAAGGTGGCCTTCAGGAGGCCGGCTGTGCTGCACCTGTGTCTGCCCATTGCCCCGTCTTCTGTACCACCTCAGGACCCTTTTGGGGGCCAGTTGTGGAGGCAGGGTGGTCCTGAGTGAGGCGGCCTGGTCCTCCCTCCTCTCAGCCTCCAGGCCAGTCACAGCTCCAAGCCTTTCTGGGGCCACGACTCAGCACTGGCCCGACAACAGACATTTGGCTTTTTAAAAGTGAAATGTAAGTCAACCCAATGAAGGAGGAATATTTTTACCAGCTTGAGAATAACAGCAGTGATGACAAACAAGGTGCTGGCACCCACGGGCTCAGGCTCTGGGGAGCTGTCAGGGCATAATTTGCATGCTAAATACCATATTTTTAGTACCAAAGTTTGGAGCACTTAACTTGCCCTGAACACTTAATTATGGACTTCGATCTTCCCCTTGAACCTGCATGTAGCCCTGAGTTCTGGGAGAGGCTCCTATCCCCAGGAGTACCCAGATTCCAGAAGGTAGGCAAAGCAGGTCCAGAAGGTAGGCAAAGAAGGTAGATCAGGAGTCAATAGCCCAGTGGATGCCTTCTGAGGAAAGCACCAGACCCCCAAGGGGGCTAGAAATCCCAGGGACTCTCAGCTGCGGATACCCGCCCCATGGCCAACTTCCACACATCCACACAGTGCCCCGACACAGCACACACTTAGTCTATAAAAGATCTTGACCAGCCGGGAACTTAAAAGCTCATCTCATCATTAGAAATCTTGAGATCACAAGTTTATCAGATGTAGGAATTGGAAGAGATGACAAAGGGAGGGAGAGAGAAAAACAGCAAGGAAGGAAGGAAGGAAGGACAAAGGCTGGGAAGAGAAGGAGGAAAGGGTGAGAGAAGGAGAGGAGAGGAAGGAAATCTCAGAGCAGTTTGGGGAGGGCTGTGGCAGGGAGAAGAGGGGAATAGGGCAGGCATGGGCGGGAGGCGGGATCGGGGAAAGTTGCCTACAGCTGTCATGAAATTTCAAGTCTTTCTCCCAGAGAGCAGATTGACAACTAGAGTGGGCAGGGGGAGGGCTGGGCTCCACCCCCTCCCCCCTCAGTACTTCAAGGGCAAAGGAATGAGTGTGGGACCCAAGAACACCAAGGTGGAAGGGGGTGGCCCAGGATCTGGCTCTTTCCCACCAGGCCCTGACCGTGGCCCCTTTGCCTTGACAGCAAGGGTGGGAAGAGGGAGCTGGAGGCTGGGCAGGCTGCAGCCCTCTGACCTCTTCTCTCTGCTTTCCCCTGTGCCTTTCTCATAGAATGTCTTTTAATCAAAGGATCATTCATCTGCCTTTATAGCAGGTGGAGCCTCCAACGCCCAAGAGCACAGCAAGGAAGCATACCGTAAGGAGTGAGCCTTTCTAGTCAGGCACTGCTGGGCGCTTTGCATACATCCTTTCAGATGTCCTCATGTGACTGCAAGTCTTCAAAGTTTCAGGCCCTTATTTTTCCCCTAGTGGGTTCCGGAGGAGTCCCCCATGGTCGTGGGCTTGGAGATGTCCTGGGAATTGGGAAGGCAAGTAGTGCAGGAGAAATTGTCACTTCATCCATCCATCCACCCAGCTGTTGTTTTAATGAATATTTATTGAGCAGTGATTGTGCTCCAGGACCCGAACATTGTGAGAACACAATGGTGAAAAGGGTGGACATGATCCCTGCCTTCACATAGTTCACAGCACTATGGGCAATGGGCATTAATCACGCAGGAACTGTACCAGCTCCACAGCCCATGGCAGAGCCCTGGCTGGGTGTGAAAACCACTGTCATGGGCATGGGCTACCTGGCTCCAGGGCACTGCTTACCTAGATGATGACAGTGACATAAGATGCAGCAGCCCTGGTGTGCTTTGGCTTGGAACAAGTAGGTTGGGAATTGGTGAGGGCAAGAAGTGTGCTCAGAGGACTTCCTGAATGGCAGATCAAGAGGTCCCCAAAAAGAAACCACTACTGATCATGCTTCTTTGGTGGTCTCAGGACAGGGGCAGCCAGGTGGCAACAACCAAAGGCGTCGAGGACTGTCTGCTTTGGGGGCATTTCCAGTGTGCCCACCTATTTGGAATCCCTTTCCACTCCATCCCTGCACCAGGGATGCACAAGGCCCAGCCCTGAGCCCCACTGCCTCTCTGCCCTTCTGGCCCCAGGACCCAGGCTGTGCTCATGGTGTTAGCACCTATCTAGGCAGGGCCATGGTGAGCCTCGCCCATGAGATCTGCTCTTCTCATAAGCCCCCCGGGGTCAGCCGTATGATCTGCTGTTACAGAAGAGAATCCTCACTCACACAGAGGGTGGTTGCCTGGGTGGCAGAGCTGGACTTTGAATCCAAGTCTTCTGACTCTGTTGTCTTAGATTATTCATTCCATCCCTTTCCTAACCAGCCTTGAGCAAAGTTGGAGAAGACTAGTGTGGTCAGAAGATTTTTGAAAGTGGAGATAGAGGGAAAAAAACATTCTTGGGGTGCTTGTGAATAGCTTGAGAACCCTTTTGGCTACTAGAGCAAATGAGTTTGTGGAGGTGCAGGTGGAGGGGAGCAGGGCATTGGGCACAGTTCTTAGCAAGGCTTTAGTAGCAGAACGCCAGAGTCTGGGCATCCTGTGCCTAAAGAACTTCTCCTGCCAACCAGATGCCCCTGAAGCCGAAAGCTGGTAGGGAGAGAACAGACCATCTTTAGAGGGAAAGACCCACCCTGGTGTTTTGGGGTTCTGGGGGTCAAGGAGAAGGGAGTGTCTGATAAGGACATCTTCCCACTCCCTCTCCCATCCCATCTCTGCTCCTTGGCAAGTAAAGCTGAGTGGGAGCTGCTGGACCAAATGCTCAGCCTGGAGGGCGTCTGGACAGGCCATTCACTGCTGGGCAGAGCCAGGGCAGCTCCAAGTCCATTGGAAACATGGCAGGAATGACTGCACTTGCTTGGGGCTTTCTCCCACCTTCATTCCTGGCTTCTGTCCTGAGACCTGGAGAAGTGTGTGAGACCTGGAGTGAGGAAGGCAACCTCCCTGGTACCTTTCCAATGAAGGGGCAGATGCTGTTGAAGTGAAAGAGAGGGGTCTGGTAAGAAGAGGGAGGTGGCACCACTTAGGACCTGGGGAGGGGATGGAGACTTTGCAGAATCAAAGCTCTGGCATGCACACCTGGGTTTTCCTCACCAGGCCCAACTCCATCCTGTTGGCCCATGAGAGCATAGTCTACAGAGGCCAGGCCTCATGCTTTGCTCAGGGTGGGGAAAGTCTGGTGTGGACAAGAGAGGGAGGAAATTGCCTGAAAGAGACAAGTTCCACAGTCTAGTGCTGTTCTGTAATCCCGAAAAGCCTACTGACCCCAGCCCTGCTCCTATTCCAAACTCAGGTTCCGACCCTCCTCCCTGTACCCCCTCTGCCCCTCCCACAGCTGTACAGGGGTGGGCAAAAGTGGGTTTAC